GGAAGGTCATATTACAGGAGTGAATGTAGCATGCATGACTCCAGATCCATTTGCATGCTGGGAGGATTTTTCCTTCTGGTTTCCCTTTTTAATCTAGTGGTTAGTGGAGGAAAAGTGTTAACTCTTGCATGCTTATTTTATGTTGTAGGCTGGCAGAATTAACTAACGTTTGGTCTTATTGCTACAATTTTAATAGTCATTAGGATTTCTGTGTTGGCTTTTTTTGTTTGTCTTATGATTAAATAAATATACATCAGACCAACTTCATCCCATCACAGTGTCAGTAACTTAATTACCATAGGGATGTATCTGCTCCATTAATTTTTTCAAGATTTCCTATAGTTCAAACAGGAATTAATTCTGAGAAATGCTTTGGCTTTTATTATACAGTAGGTCAGACTAGATGATCACAGTGGTCCCTTCTGACCTTATAATCTGTGAATTTAAAAAATTCATATTCTGAAGGGCCATGCAGATAAGACCCCTATGCTTGAGAATCTTGGTATCTGCTTAATAAATCCCTAAAATACATCAGGTTCAATTCCAGAAGTCTATAGAGAGAATTCATGTTGTCTTGTAGTATTGTTCTAATATATTTTGTTGACAGAAATATATTTGCTAACAGATAGAGCACAACTGAAAATGTTCATCTTTCTATTCCTTTTCAGTCTTGTTCTATATTTATTTATCAGATGTATATGCCATCCTTCCCAACAAAGGCCCTGGGTGGCTTATACAAAAAAATACTAAATAATCTATAAAAGCAGGTAGAATATTAACTAAAATGTAAAACAAAAACTCCCTAAACAATATACCAATTTAACCTTGCTTGCTAAAGTCCTGCCCAAATAAGAATCTCTTTGCCAATGCTAGCTGTTATTTATTCCAGATTCTGTAATATAGTGCCTTTTCATTTTGTTTAGATTTTGGAAGTGAGGTATTTTTCCTTTTACTGTTCTTTTCAGCTATTTATATATATATATATATATATATATATTATAAAAATGAAAAAAACAATTATTAATATACTGTTATAATAGCTAGACTGTTAACAAATATCTCACAGATAGATTTCATCTTAGTTCACATTTACACTCAAACCAGTTCTAGCATGACATTCATTGTATTCTATTTCCTAAAAAAAGTAATAATAAGATGTAATAATATTGACTGCAGCAACAAGGGAGGAATTCCTATAATGCATTTTAAAACATGCTTCTAAAACTATGTATATTTGGATCAGTATACTGCTTCTTTTCCATGGTCTTATTTTATATTTTATGCTATAACTTTGAAAACAAAATAGTAACATTTAAAATATCCAAGCCTAAAGCCACAACAATAAAGACCCTAAAAATGTCTGTTTTATTAGACTGAGAGATGAAAAGGTAATGAATATAAAGTTGGTTCTGGCTGCAGGTTGTATATGGAGCTGTCAGAATGTAAATGAAAGCTGTCATGCTGTCAGTTCTCCTTTTATTTTTAATGAACTATCTTTTCTTTTCAAATTATGTAGATGATAATGTGGATTTTACAGATGGGAATAACACAGACTCCATATATCTAGATCTATATAGGTATAGCTATATAGATCTATACAGATAATATAGATCTGTATAGATATAGATAGATAGAGATATCTATTTATCTATCTATCTATCTATCTGTGTGTGGATGGATGGATGGATGGATGGATAATTTTGGTCTTCATACTTTTTTCCAGTATATAAGTAGTCTGATTAGTAAGCTGTTCATGAAAACGTCATAAAATAAATTGCACTGCATGTACTATTCAAATTTCAAAAGTTCCAAATGCAAGATTAATAATGTTAGTCCTGATATTAATGAAAACAAATAAACAGCTTACAAGTAGTTGATATATCCAGGAAGAAGGTAGATAATTCTACAGATAGAAGCAATCCAAATTTAATTGAATTTGTCCCCAGACTGGCTGTAGGCGATTTTGTCCCCAAACTGATCAATTAGCTGTGCAGTAAAATGTAACCATCTACACGTGTGGCCCTATTAGGTCTCAGTAGACCAGGGGTGGGCAAAATACAACCCACGGGCTGCATCCGCGGAGCCCCTAAAAAATTTAGAAAATTAAATTAGAAAAATTTAGAAAATTAAAATTTATCTGCCCCTGGCTCCTGTCGAAGATGACAAGAGCCAGGGACAGTAGGACCCAGGGGAAGCCCCAGCAGACTCCTGCAGCAGCAGGGCCCGCCCAGCCCTGCCTCCCCAGCTGGAAGCCCCTGCCTAGCAGGGCTTCTGACCTGGGAACCTGGGGTTGTTTGTGGCTGCACCGGCATGGGAAATTCAGGTAAGAAGCGGAGGGGGAGATAGAGTAGGACCCCAGTCCTCAGAGGCGGGCTAGGTCCTCCTGAGCTACACTGTACAACCATGCAGCTGGGAGCCAGCGGGTGGGTGGGCGGCAAAGTGGGGGTGGGGGGAGTGGAAGCAAGTGGTGTGTGGGAGCGCGGGGCCTGTGCCAGTTTCCTGGGGCCAGTGCCGGTGGGGCCCAGAGCAGAGCAGTAGGAGTACAGGGTGTGGGCTGGCAGGGGTCTGTGGAGCCAGGCTGACTCAGCTCCATAGACCCTGTGCATCTGCCATCCTGTTTTGGGCCCCACCGATGCTGGCCCCAGGACACCGGCACGGGCCCCGCACTCCGCGCTGGACGCTGGCTCCCATGTGCCTGCTCACTCCTAATGCCCCCTCCCAGCCCCGTGGTACAGGCAGGGAGCAGCATGCAGCCCCAACCCGACACACCCTGCACTCGCCTGTCTGGGCTGAGCAGCGGCGACGGGGAACGAGCTGGTGCTCAGCTTGAAGGGAAAGCACCCCCCCGGTGTGGGCTGTGCCTCTGCACTGCATCAACACCGCCCCGCGGGGCAGCATTGGCAACAGAGAGCAGGCACAGGCAGCCCCGTGCGGGCTCTGAGCAGCTGCAGCACAGGGCATCAGCCACAGGGAGGGGGAGCAGCTGCTTTCCCCACGTGCTGAGCACCAGTTCATTCCCCAGAAACTGCTGCTCGCTGCAGAGAAAAGCGGCTCCTCCCCACTCGCCACCATGCAGTGTTTGCTGCGGCTGCCCACCTGGAGTTCATACCATGCTAGACTGCGCTGGGGCTGCCTGACCTCTGCCTCTGTGCTGCCCAGTACAGCAGCAGTGGCCATGTGGAGCAGCCATAGGGCAGCACAGAGGTGGCAGTGAAGCAGTCACACCACAGCCTAGCACAGCACAAGCTCCAGGTGGGCAGCTGCAGCAAACACTGTCCGGCAGCGGCGAGTGGGGGGGGGGGGGGGGCGTGCTTTCCTCCACGCCGAGCAGCAGCTTCTGCCCAGCTGGTGCTGCCGGTGGCTCAGCCCTGATGGGCAAGCCCAGAGTTGGTGCGGTGCCCAGGCTAACACCGGTGGCAGGGAATGAGCTGGTGCTCAGTGCAGGGGAAAAGCGGCTTCCCCTCCCTGTGGCCAGTGCCCCATGCTGCAACTGCTTGGAGTCCACGCGGGGCTGCCTGTGCCTGCTCTCTGGTGATGTGGCAGAGAGGCAGGATAGCCCCGCATGAGCTGTGAGCGGCTGCAGCAGGAAGCAGTGGCCTTGGGAAGGTGGGGACACTTTTCCTCCATACTGAGCACCAGTTTGTTCCATGCGGACAAGTACGGGGCATTCGGGGTAGGGGCTGCGCACTGCTCTCGGCCTGTGCTGTGGAGTTGGGGCATGGGGACTGGGAGTGAGTGGGTGTGTGGGAGCCAGCGGCAGCCATGAAGGAGCACAGGGCCTGCGCTGGTGTCCCAGGGCCTACATCGGCAGGGCCCAGAGCAGGGCAGTGGGAGTGCGGGGTCCCGGCCAGCAGGGGCTCTATGGAGCTGGGTCAGCTTCCCCCTCTCCCTGCTGGTGCAGCCCAGCCTGGCTCCAAAGACCCCTGCCAGCCCACACACTGCTCCTACCGCCCTGCTCTGGGCCCTGCCAGCGCTGGCCCCGGGACATTGGTGCAGGCCCCATGCTCCTGCTCACTTCCACTACCCCACTCCTGTCACTTTCCCCACTTTCCTACTTGCCCACTGGCCACTCTGCACTACTTGGCTCCCATACCCACATCCATACCCACACACACATCCAGACATCCCCAAAAAGCCCCATATGCAATCACTTCTGCATATACACCACAAACACACAGAAATCAGGACAAAATTTTTTTTTTTAATTAAATTCAAATATATTATTATGGGTATCAGGGGCGGGACTTCCAGTCCCAAGTTGGTGACTAGGGGGCGGGGGACCTGTCAAGGGGCGGGGCTACCCATGCGGCCCTTGACAACGTGCCAAAAGTCAGTAAGCAGCCCTCCACCTGAAATAATTGCCCGCCCCTGCAGTAGACTAATAAACACTGCCATAGGGTAGTCCTGCTAAACCCAAGTACTACCCTGTGGCAGCATTGTTTCGTGTGCTGCAACTCACAATGATGGGACAGGCTGGGGCACAAGGGTGATTCAGTGCAGGGCTAGCCTGCAGGCAGTCCCCATGCTGAAGCACCTTTTTGCCCCAGCCAGCCTCTCCCCAGAATGGGGAGCCCAGCCTGAGCAGCCCTGGGCTAGTAGGCTGACCACTGGGTCCCCTGGCATCCTGGGCTGCTCGGACCAGGCTCTGCATGGTGCAGTGAATAAGCTCCGGATCAATATGCTCCAGAGGTTTTACTCCCAGGCACATATTCAAACTACTCACCTGGGAGCAAAATACTCCAGGGCAGTAAGCTCCGGGGTTTATTCCAGCGCATTAATCGCACATGTAGACATGACCTGTGATATCAGTTGCAGTAATAGTAATCTGTTTACAAGGAACATGAATTTCTGTGTTAACAAAACAAATTTAAAACTTGATTGGAAACATTAGAAACTGTTAAAAATCACGGCTATTTATTTGTAGAGTTGTAAGATAATACAAGATCCCACACACGGTAGCTACATGAGTATATAGTTGGTGTATGTTAATCCATTCTAAGACATGCAGTTAGTCATGCAGCCTACATTAGCCCAGGGTATGCTCTGATAGGAAGAATGGTAAGAGCCTGTGCATAGTAACTGCATCAGAGTTGTAAGGTATCAAGTCATTCTTAGACAATGGTTTTAGCATGCAGCTTACAATTGCTGGTATGGGGAAAAGTCAAAGGCATTAAAAGTCTTTGTCAGTTAATGGTGTGTGTAGGAGGGGTTCAATCCATCCCCTCTGTCTTGGTTACATGGTATTGAAAATCAGCAAAAAATAAAAAATTATATGAATGAAATCTCAAGGCCAGTTCACAATCACAGTCGAGTTCTATATATGAATGCTCCCATACTACTTTGTTTGACTCACGATTCCTGTCAGTTTGCATTGTCATAATATAATAGTGCCACCAAATGGAAAATTGCAGCATTTCCCATTAAGCTAATGTTATCTCAAAAGAACATAAATAATAGGAATATTTTTAGTTTATAAAGCACTTTTAATATTAAAAAATCTCACAGCATCTTGCTATGAGGAAATGGCTTCACCTACCATTGAACATGACAAATAGGGTGGAATTGGAGCACTTGTTCACTAAAAAAGAACAGCAACATAAGACATGAAATGCAAAAGCAGAATACTTATTCAAAAGATTGAACTCACAAAATTCTCTTTTTGGGTAAAGTCAAGATTAACTTTCCACTGGATGTTTATTTAATCAGGTGACCCAGCAGAGCAATTTAGCACCCTAAATCTTCCCCCACACATTTGCAATTTTAGTAGCAAATTTTACATTTGGATCTCCCATGTATACAGTCTCCTGTAACTGGTAGAGTTGATAAGACTCCAGCCTTCTTAGACTTCAGTCAGGGCTTTGAAGGAAATCAAGAAAGCTGAATGAAACAGAGATGGAGGCCTTCTAAATGCAAATTGATTAAATTAGATAAAAATAGATACTGATAAAGACTTACACTATATATGAATCATAAAGGCAGTTATTAGCTTCTGTCTTCCCATGAACAAGTGGCAACAATAAAGAAAAATTTACAGAGTGTAAAACACAAAGGGCTGATCTCCAGTGTAGGTCAAGAGCACTCTCTGAATTACTCTTTTTGAATAAATTTATGTAGATGTTATGATATAAATCTCACTGACTATTATTGGAGATGTTTACTAATAATGAATTTTCATGTTCTAAATTTGAATATTCATACTACAGGAGAAACAAAGATAAACATGTTTAAGGCACAGAATAGAGCCATATAAATCATGATATTGATTTACAGGATTTTTAAAAAGGTTTTAATAAACTCTGATTAATGTAATATTTTCATTTCCCAGGATTTGATTGATTTTGTTTTCACTGCTGTGACACCAAAAATGCCAATTTTAGAATGCATGTACATCAAGCAAGCGATTGACCTCCTACAGGTAGAGATGATATTAGGTTTTCTATCAGTCATTTTTTTACTTGTGTGTAGATAATGTTCAAAGAGAGTAGTAGTCACACTTTGTGTCTGCTTTACAGGGTTTATTGGCAGACCAAGATGAGAAGCAGCCCAGTCAGGAGCATATAGCTCGCTTGTTTGTTTTTGCTATAATGTGGTCAGTTGGAGCTCTATTGGAACTGGATGACAGAGTGAAAATGGAGCTGTTCTTAAGGAGTCATTCTGCAGTGCTAGAACTTCCAGCTGTGAATGGAGAAGAAACCATGTTTGAATTTGGTATTAGTGATTGTGGTCAGTGGGAACACTGGTCAAAGAGGGTTTGTATGAAATAAAGTACTACTTCTTTCTTATAATTACAGCTAATGCATGTATTTGACAAGAAAAACACATTTTACTAATTAAAGCCTATAACGCAATTTGGGAAATTATGCTTAATAAATTACCGTAAGTCTCTTTTTTGAAGATTTTTTTTTTCCTTTGAAGATATTTTCAGTAGAGATCAGGAACCAACAATGCAATAGTTTTGGGGGGGATAAAACAAAAAAAAGTTATTTTTACTCTAGTGTTTGTTGAGAACTGCCTAATCAAATACGGCCCCCAGAAATCTTTGTAAGGAGAAATGGGGGCGTGACAATACTCTACTAGTTTTGTACTGATGGGAAAGCAGGGTCAACCTTATCAAATAGATAATATACATGTGATTTTGTGATCACGAACAGTGCTCTTCTGATCCATATAAAATTTCTAATTAACTGTATGCATTATTTCTATTTCAGGTACTGGAATATATATACCCTAGCGATTCAGTGCCAGAATACACTTCCATTCTGGTTCCAAACGTTGATAATATTCGAACGGATTTTCTAATGGACACTATTATGAAGCAAGGAAAAGCTGTTCTGCTAATTGGGGAGCAGGGAACAGCGAAAACAGTTATGATTAAGGTACATGGATGGACACTGTTCCCACTGAGACATTTTACCCAACATATACATACAAATTGTAGTTTCTAAGTATCTACTGTGGTACCTCCTAACATTTTGCTCACCATGATGTATTAGGTATTAAGGAAGTCACCTTCCCTAGGCTCTCTTTTCTGATTTTTCATGAGAAGTCAGATTTGAGAACTTGCTAACAGTGCCTATGATTAGAGGATTTCCTGTTCCCCTAACCCTTTTGACCCCTCTTCATAAAATTTGTTCATCTGCATTGCAAAGACTTTCTTCAAAGCCAAAGGAAAATAGAGATAATAGAGATATTATCCTCATTAGGAGAGGAGTAAAGCACACTAGGGGTGCATCTGCACAAGATGTTTACTGCACAGTCAACTAATTAGCTGCACAGTAAATATTGTGCATCTACACATATGCCCCTATTAGAGTGGAGTAAACTAATTAACTCTGCAGCAGGATCAAACTTGTAAATACAAGTACAGGAAACCCTCGCTATTTGCGAATCTGCTGTTCACGGATTCAAATATTCGTGATGCGCCATGCCAACTGGGTGGGTCAGAGCGAGCACTGTTGCAGCTCCCTCTGGTGCTGCACTGAGCTCCTGCCTCTGCGTAAGCAGGCACAGAGTGCTGTGTTGGGCGGGGGAGGGCACAGCCGGGGAGAGCAGAGCAGAGAGCAGAGCCGGGCAGGCAGAGTGGGAGGGCAGAGCCGGGCAGGTGAAAAGCAAACGCCATGGACGGGGAGGGAGGCAGTGGCAGCATCTTCTCCCCTGGAAGCAGCTGCGGTTGGTCCCCAGGTGCTGCAGGAGAGCCCCACACTTCCAGCTTCTTGCGGGGTCTGACAGGGAGCCCCATCAGTATTTGCGGATTTCACCATTTGTGGGGATCTCCAGAAAGGATCCCCTGTGAATGGCAAGGGTCTCCCATACTATCCTGCTGTGGAGTTCTTTACTCCACAGCAGCTTGCATGTAGACACTGCCCCAGCTGGCTGGGGCATGAGGGTGCTTCAGTGCAGGGGCTGCCTGCTGGCTAGCCCTACACTGGAGCACCCTTGTGTCCCAGCCAGCCTCTCCACAGCACGTTAAGCTGGTGGGGAGCAGCCGCAGCCTGGCAGACTGACCCTTGGGACCCCCTGCCACCTAGGGTTGTTCCAACCCGGCTCAACATGCTGTGGTCCTGGGCCCACATTCAAATGGTGCAGACAGGAGCAATAAGTTCCAGAGTTTATTGCTTTGCATTAGTTGCATGTGTAGACACTCACACTCCTTAGGATTGTAGCAAAGCACATAAGAAGGGTAGTAAAGCACTAGAACAGGTGGTGGCAACTAGAAAGATGGTGGGATCCCCATCCTTGGAAGTTTTTAAGACCTGGCTAGACAAAGCCTTGGCTGGGACGATCTAGTTGGGGATGATCCTGCTTTAAGCAACGGGTTGGACTAGATCTGAGGTCCCTTCCAACCCTAATTTTCTATGATTCTATGCTTCTATGATAAAGAACTTTTTTGAGACAGTTTTCCAAGACCAAGTGTAATATTAATTATATGCCCTCATCATTCCCACGTAGGAAATGGCATTTTGTTCTTTTCTTTATAAGGGCTACTATAAAAGGGTTTGTCCCCCCACTTTTAAAATGCCCCCAATTTGTCTTATTGTACACGTGCAACATTTGATCATTAACTACATAGGAAGCCAAAGTCAAAACAAAAAAAACCTAAGTCCCAAATGAAACTAGTCAGCAGCTTCAGTTTCTCTAGTTTCTATCTGACCAAAACCTAAAAGAAGACCTTTAAAAAAAAGTCTGCATCTATTCTGCTTTTCCTGGAATATGTATATTAAACCCATCTTGCAGTGCACTATACTGATGCTAAGAGCAATGAATGCTCTTTTCTTAGCAGAACTGTTTGTGCCTCCTGCGTGCTAGTGTAACATCAACTTCTGTTCCTGGCACTATCTGGGGAAGCTATTTTAGCAACATGAAAGGGTGTGGTATAGTTAGTGGTCCTAATATTTTACATACTGGAATTTAGCCAGACACCAGTAATTCCCCGCCTTCTATTGCCACTCCTGTCTCTAAAAATACTTAGACGTTATTCCCAGGAGTGAGTTACCCTGTATCTAAACAGAAAAGAATATTGCTCTCACAGAGGGAGGCATAATTTTAAAAAGTACTAACACCATTCTTTCTCATTTAGTAATTAAGCAAACTATCTCTCCAAATGTGCGATCTTTTTCTCCTCCTCCTCTAAAGTATTATTCCACTTATGACCTGGACTGTACACAAAAGAACTTCTTCTGGTCAGGAATTTCTAATTCCATCTAACTGCTGTCATTCATTCAAACAGCAACAACGTAATCCCAATTTTTAAAAATGGAAAATTTCCGATGTTAATTTGAGAGCTTGGGAAAGTTACAAGTGTGTAAAAATATACTAACAGGTTTAAAATGAAGATTGTTTTATGACCTTTACTACAGCAATTGCTACTGGCAGTATTACTGTGCTAAGAGTAAAAAAACTAATTTACACAGATGTAACATTGGTGTGACAGCGTGGGGGACAGTGCCCTGGATATTGAAAGTCTATATATTTTAATATTATAAAAAGATATTGATTTTTTTTAAAAATTCAAGTTGAAGGCTCTTAATGTTGTTTTAAATATCTGTTGATATTATAAACTGAAGCCACTGACAGATGATCAGTTAAAGGCACAATGGAATCTGATCCACAATTCCAACACAATCCACAATACCACTTCTGCATAGCAGGAAGTGTGATTGTGGGACTGGGAATCATTTCCCAATTGCACCCAATTTCCAGTGCAGGGGAAGCCTGAGATCATGATCCCAGGCTGAACAGGCAAGTAGAAAGCCAGGTGCCTGGTGCTCCCAGCCTCAGGAATGGTCTGGAGCCTTAAAGGTGTACCAGTCAGCTGACTAGCGCTCCCAGCCTTGCAAGCACACTGGAGCAAAGGATACCAATGTGATACCACAGCTGGGAGCTCTGATCAGCTGATCGATGTTAGTCACTTGTTCAGTTTAAGGCACAATGGGAACCAACCAGAACCTTATTACAAATATTTTGTGTAGTAACTTTGTGGCTTATTCCGTGATTAATTACTTGAACACGTGGTCAGGTTACCACTTAAGACACAGTTAAACTGATTGGTCACATCTTAAGTGTAATGTCTGCCAGGGACAAGATTCTTACAAGTTGCTAAGTGGTTGGTGACTTCTAACTGTGGGTGTGTTGTGTCTGATTTTACACACAAACTGAACAGCAGCATCTCTCATTGACTGTATGTGACCATGTGTGCGTACTGCTAAAGCAGCCACTCTCCCTATTTTCCAAGATTGTCTCAAGTATTGTGGCTGCGGATTTCCCAAAAGTGAAGGTCAGCAGCAGCGCTGTTTAGCTAGCCTACAGTGTCTTGCTGCAGTGCCTATTGTCTCGGACGGCCACAGCCGACTCGAGTTGCGTTAGAAATTGGTCGTACGTTAGGGCGGGCTGGTGAATGGAGAGGCAGACACAGCTTATTGGTTGCAAAAAACTTTACTCACGCCGCTTGCAATCACGACGCAGGTAGTCCGGTCGTCTGAACAACCACACGAGTTGTTCCAGCTGGCGGGGCCCAAGCCAGTTAATCCGTCCGCAATTCGAAGCCGGCGGGGAAAGGGGTACGTCTGGGATTGCGCTCAGCGACGGGAAGAAAGATCGATAGGTGATCAGTCTATCGATCGGCAGCCGCAAGTCAGATAACTTCAGAGGCACTCTGCAGCGTGCTCAAAGCTCTTCGACTTGGGCGGAAGTCGCACGGAATTTTAAACAGCCAGCGAGCCAATTACTAGCCGCCACGTGTGAATAATTTAGCACTGGCCAATAGCGGGGCACAAATTTACATTCGAATGGCGGGAACTCTTTGCACCGTGCATTTCTGTGCTGCAAAGAAGAAATGCATCCTGCAAAGGAAACTGCAAATTGGCGGGAACTCTCTCCTATACGCGGGTTCTTAATTGCAGCAGAACACTCTGCCGTGCAAAGGAGCTCTCATGTGGCCAGGAAATTCCATAGTGCCGAGGCACAAAAATCACTGGGTTGTGACACCTATAATAACTGTAGCCATAAGGGGTGCAAACCACTTTTGGCACAGAGGTCTGTAGAGCATCGGGAAGTGGGTTCTAGATTTCAATCCCTGGAAATTGGTTGCTTATGAATTGTACTTACAAATTGCATTAAGAATATTTATCTTTACAGGGTTATACCAGCAAATATAATCCTGAAGTTCATCTGACCAAGTGTTTAAACTTTTCTTCTGCAACTTTACCAAGTATGTTCCAAAGAAGTATAGAAAGTTACATAGATAAAAGAATGGGAACCACCTATGGTCCTCCATCTGGGAAGAAAATGACTGTTTTTATTGATGACATCAACATGCCTGTGATTAATGAATGGGGTGATCAGGTAAAAAAATGTTAGCAACTGAATTTTCAGTGGAAACTAATGTGAAAGCCTGTTTCTCGAATCAGGGATTGCATTTGTAAAACTATACATGTGTTTTCAGGAGAACTGAAAAATTGTACTTGTTAAAGCATGTCTTTGTAACATACATTAGCTATGGTAATACAGGAGCTTGCTCTCTCAAATTTCTTATGCTTAGCAGCAATGATGGGAGTACTGATCTAGATAAGACACCATAGGCAACTAGTGTCCTAAGTACTGTGTCCTATGGACCAGTTTGGACAGTGTTTAGCAATATAATACTTGAAGCACTGGCACATCTGGAGCATTGTTGGGTGCCTGTACACGTGCAGGGAGGCTGCTCCAACGCACTGTAATTATAGGATGTCAGAGCAGACGAGGTTAATCGAGTCTGCTGGAGCATGCTGATTAGAGCACTCCAGCCAGCCTCCGCATCTCATGTATCAATATCCCTGTGCTTCAAAATGGCAACAGGGGTGATTTAACTAAAGCATATTTGCCGCCATTCTGAAGTGCAGGGATGCTGATACATTAGACACTGCAGGCACTTTAATTAGAGTGGCTCTTGGAGCCGCTCTTTTTAAAGCACCCCAACTTGGAGCACATGTAAAAAAAAACCCTTGATACTAAGGCTCCCACCATTGGGGAAACCTTAGAAAAAACATCATAGCATAGGCACACCTATGAAGACCTGCTAGGTAAATATCCACAAGCCACTTTTTTTTTCTAATTAATTGGAAATTTTCAGAACAAAATGGTCAGAATAAACATCAAGCTATCTGGTAACAACATGAAAGACTTCTAGACTGTCAGTCTCAGTTATAATCTGCATTTGTAGCAGTTATAACCAACTGTGCTTAAGGCACTGATATGTCAAGCAAGAATTGCTGTTTTCTACTAACATAACTATGCTTATCTAGACAACTTAAGAAAAGAAGCAGGAGAATTTGGGGAGCATACTAACCATCTTTCCTTCCTAATTTATCCAGACCTTAAAAAAAAGTTATCATTAACTGAAATCCCAGACTGGTTAGACAGTTGATCCAAAGTGCTTAGATATTCATGTGAATGTTAAAAATTAATTAATTAAATAAAGTAATGTAATTAATAAATATTTTATGCGCCTGCCCTCTTTGAAAGCCTGGCTTTAATTTCTAGTATTTATCCCTTGGATAAGTAGATACCATACTTACCATTAAACTAATCACTCCTACTCATGCATTTAAGACCCGTACAAAGCTGGTCTCTTTCATTCCTTTTCATTCCTGATCATCATGTCATTAAACATGGTCCAGGCTCAGCACTCAGTGCAAAGCTGATTCTGAGCCCATCTCCTTCTCATGTATTCGTTGGCATCTGACCATGCTTAATTTCAAATGCTAAGTTTTCCTAAACTGCCCTACATCCTTTCACTTTGTGGAATGCTAATTGTTTGTCCAAAACTTGCCCATGACTAAAATACAAGCAGTGGTTCTCAATTGGGGTTACTGTGGCATCCCAGGGTTCTGCAAGAATCTGCCAGGATGCCAGGCTGCCAACACAGCCACAGGCTGAAATTGTCCTATATGCCTCTGTTTTCAGGAGGCACATCAGAATGAAACTGAGAAGCAGCTGCAGCAGAAGGGCATACCTGTCTGCATAATGCTGCATAATGTTTGCTGCATAATGCAGAGTTGAACCAGAAGGAACTGCAGGTAGGTGCACATTTCTGCTGCAGCCGCTTCTCATTTTGAATCCTAGGTACCTCCTGAAAGCAGAGGTGCACAGGACAGTTCCAGCTGCCCTACATGCCTCTGTTTCTGTGAGATACTGTGCTGGGTTGGACTGGGAAGGTCTGTGGCAAGAGCACACACTCCTGCCATAGCTGCTTCCCAGCCTGGCTCTGCAGAAGGCACACAACGCAGTTCCACCTGGTAGTATGGTGAATATAATATAATTATATATTCAATTAATTATTAATTAATAGTATAATTATAAAGCACATTGATTATATTCATTATAAATAATGTATTTCTAATATTCATAATACAGTTATATTAGATTTTTAAATAGAGTGCCACTAAATTTTTTAAAGTTTTGGAAGGGTGCCTTGAGTCTAAAAAGGTTGGGAACCACTGGCCTAGAAGGACATTAGGTACTAGTTAACAAGAAGTCTTTTTCACTTTATGCACCTAACTGGCACATCTGCAGCCATGTAACTACAGGTTTTGACTTTTACACACAGTTTCACATTCAATTTCACCCTGTGGCAAAAGGATCTCCCTGAACACGTACCTACAGGCTATAAAATGCAACAGTCTAGAGGCAGAACCAAAAGCACGCTGGTATGCAGCTGGAAAACTGACATTTAGGTGCATAGAGGGAAATAGAATTCACTCCTTTCCTTTTTTGTTTTCTTGTAGTAGCATAAGGAGTAGTTGGCGACTGGGACACCAGCCCTGGGTTCCCACTTAGACGAGGTACAAGAATGGCTATACCTCTGCTCTTTCAGATATATTGTGAAAAGCACTACTCACTGCACAATACTGTGTTTTTTTGTTTTTCACCCTATCTTTTATTACATTGGATATATGTATTCAGACAAACTGTAAAAACTTAATTAAATAATATCTGAAATTCCTGTTTCTGTTTTGGCTAATAGATCACCAATGAAATTGTAAGGCAATTGATGGAGCAAAAAGGTTTCTACAATTTAGAAAAGCCAGGAGAATTCACTAATATAGTTGATATCCAGTTTGTAGCTGCCATGATTCACCCTGGAGGAGGTCGGAATGATATTCCACAGCGCCTGAAACGCCAGTTTACTGTTTATAACTGCACATTGCCCTCCAATGCGTCTATTGACAAAATATTTCGAACGGTAGCTGAAGGCTATTTCTGTGTACACAGAGGTTTCCCTGAAGGGATATGTAAACTAGCATCAGCATTAGTACCTACAACTCGAAAAGTCTGGCAAGCAACTAAAATAAAGGTAAAAGATATGACTATTTTTAACAAGTCTATTCCTGTGACCTGAAATACAAAGACGAATTAGGCCTTTTTGTTATAGTAGAATATGTGTATAATTTCCACTGTGTTGTTAATCAGAATCCTATGACTGCATTATCTATTGAAAAATGTGTTGTAACAATGATTTTCCTGGAGTGATGGTAGGGATAGTATTTAATATTTATATTGTGGTAGCACATGGAAAACACCCCAGTGCAGCTCCTTGGCATGAGGCACTACAAACACATAGGATAAACTTAAATCCCTTCTCTGCCTCTGCATAGCTGGGTATTTTTAGCTTGGAGAAAAGGAGGTTAGGGGGGGACATGATAGCAGTTTTCAAATATTTGAAAGACTGCCGTAAAGAAGAGGGAGAACAACTGTTCTCTCCTACCACAGAGGGCAGGACATGAAGTAATGGGTTTAAGTTGCAACAGAGTAGTTTCCAAACAAACTTCCTTACTGCCAAGACAATAAAAAAAGAGGCTGCCCATGGAAATTATGGGATCTCCTTCACTAGATACGTTCAAGAGGAGGCTGGATAAGTAGTGGACAGGGGTGGTTTAGGAACAGCGTTCCTGCATTCATATAGGGAGTTGGACCAGATGACCCCTGATGTTACTTCCAACCCTGTGATACAATGACTCTGTGGCAAGGGACAGACATTACACATAAACTGGTTTAAGTGATCAGAAACTGGTTTAAACCTGTCACAGAACAGATGTTCAGTCCACATAAACCAGTTTCAAAATGGCTGAAACTGGTGATAAACGTAGTTGAAATGTAGTATATCAGACTTAGCTGATTTGGGTCAAACCAGTTTATGCAATGTCTATCCCAGAACCCATGCTGGTTTAAGTTAAAGCAGACTGCTTACCCCACCCCTCCCTGCTGAGCAGGGATTCTGCCGTCCCCTCTGCCTTACACAGACACCTCTCAGCATTAGCTAGCAGACAACATGCTGGCTATGGTCCATGCTGTGACAGATGGGACAAAGGCAGAATCAACAGATAGCGGGTAATGTCACTGTGTTGTTTTCTTAATGGGGTGATAAACACTAAGTTAGGGATGATTTACACTGTGTTATCAATTCCCTGCTGGGCTGGTCAGAAGAGGGGGATCCCTCCCTAATCGGAGCATCCTGCCCGGGCCTGGCAATGCCCCCCTTAGTACAGCATTGTGAAAGGAAAGGGAAGACTGCTCTCACGCTGCCTGGCTTCTAGCCTGAGCCACTACAGGCATGTGCATACATTTCTGGGATGTCTGTGTAGTTACAAATTGATTCAGCCTTGCCAGGTTAGACTAACCTGCAAAGATTGAATCAGTTCAGGCTCAGGCTTTTTGAATATCTGTCCATAGTCCATATGACCATGAGCAGAGGTGGTTAGTCATGTTAGTCTGAATTCAGGCAAAAGAAAGGGCAGGGTAGCCCCACAGAGACTAGGTGTTTCAGAGAGTCACAAGCTTTTGTAGGCAACAACCTGTTTCATCAGATGCTATGCATGGACTTGCAGAAAGAAAGGATTTTAAGTAGAAAAGAATTTAAATACAAGAAATTATCCACAGAATAGACAGTATTAAGTAGAGTCTCAACAGAGACTATGGGATTCTTATCCCATTACCTGGACTAGCTGTTAACTCCAGTTTTTAACCCCTGTGTCTCTCGATGTGTTAACTGTCTTTTTTATTCCTGTTGATCTATTCAACCGACTTTTGCCTCTCAGCAGTGTCCCCTCCCACTCTCCCTTCCTTTGTAGATAAATTCCTATTCATAATGAACAACATAGTCAACAAATACATCCCTTTTCTTGTATGTGAATTATCCATTAAGAAATTGTAATGTTTACATCTGTTTATCATTTAAAAGATTCTTTGTTTTACTTTTCTTCTTCCATTTTCCCTCCTCCCATTTCCTCTAGCTTGTAAACAGAACAATTCCTGAAAAGATAGAGAGAAAGAATAAGAAGAAGTGACAGTAAAGCAGTGAGGGGATTGGAGTTTCTGCCATTTTTCTGAGGCCTTGAGTTCTGTGGTTCATGGAGTTGTCTTGACTGCGCTTAATTCCTTATTGCTGTGGCTTTGAAGATTTCAGGAACATTGGAGCCTCACATATGAATAATTAAAAGCTGTTGAGCATCCTAGTCATTTTTTGCTTTCACAAGATAATGGCTTCCATAACATCAAGCATGAGTTTCTGCTTTAAATGAAATCTTCTTGTTAAAGTTGACTAAACAAATCAGTATTCGTTTACAAACACATAGGTAACTATTAAGAATTTCAGTGTTTCTTAAACAGCTACTTAAATATGGCTTATGACTTCCTTTTGTAGATGCTACCAACTCCCGCTAAATTTCATTACATCTTTAATTTACGAGACCTCAGTCGTATTTGGCAAGGGATACTTACAGTCACAGCTGAAGTTTGCCAGAGCACCAGTGTTTTGGTAGCCCTCTTCCAGCATGAATGCAAACGTGTAATTGCAGATAGGTTCACAAGCCAGAATGACAGAGACTGGTTTGAAGATATGATGAAAAAGGTAAGGCAAATAATATTCAGTATTCCCTTGGAAGGAAGCAAAAGAAACATTTCACTGGTGACAACAATATACCACATATATTTTTAGATTGCTGATGAAGAGCATGGTGAAGACTTACTAGGAAGTAACTCCAAAGAACTGTACTTTGTGGATTTTTTACGTGATGCTCCAGAACCCACTGGAGATGAATCTGAAGATGTAGAACTAGAAGCTCCTAAAATTTATGAGTCTGTTCCATCTTTTGATCACTTGGCTGAAAGATTACAGATGTTCATGTTGCAGTATAATGAAACCATCAGAGGTGCAAAGGTGGACTTAGTATTTTTCAAGGTATTTATTTCTCTGATTGTGCTTACTTTATCTAGTCAGTATTGATAGTTTCCCAATACATGTGCAGTCTTTGTGGATTTTTCCTTATTTAATGATCCATGGATTTTATATTGTCACTGAGATTAAGTGAAAATGGTCAATTATACCTTCTAAGAAAAACTCCTGGGTTTCTTCCAAACAAGCATGACAGGACATAGGATATTCCTTAGCGCTGCTTGCAGACATTAAAAAACAAAAACAAAAAGCGTGTGCTTTACTGGAAGAAGCAGCATTGTTACTTTGACCTGGCTCTGCAGCATCTGTATAGATTGGGTGCTTCACTGGGGATTTTTGCACTTTTATCTAAAAGTTGAGTCAATCAGCTGTTGGATAAAAGCACCTAAAAGAGCCCCACTGAGGCACCCAACCTATACAGACATTGGGCAAGCAGGGTCCAACTAACATGCTGCTTCTTCTAGGCATGCACTGGGCTCGGTGTGGGAGCACATGGGGTTTAAAGTAAAGTATAATTTTGGAGGGGGCGGTTAATACCTGCAAGCAGCCTATATTATTTATATTACAGACTTCTACTTCCATTAGCTTTTATATCACTTTCCAGTTCCCAATCCTTTCTTTCTCCCTGCTTTAAAATTCCCCAAGCCCAAGCTTGTTGTTTCCCTGCTTATTTCTCCCTGTGTCCTTTGAGGTTACACTCTCCTGAAAAGATCATTTAATCCCACTTCACAGAAACCTCTGGTTGTCGGGACATTATACATTCAGATCAATACTGGTTTTTTGCCTCATCTACTTTCAAGGGACTGGGCTACATAAGAGGTTTTGAACAAAATTTTAAAAATCTATTTGTTATGAGAAATCAGGCTTTATTAATTTAGTGCTGTCACCATTCAAGATATAAATACAATATCTGGATGGAATACAAATGGAGAGCTTACTTTCTTTTCTTCTCTTTGGTTCTTTTCTTTTCTTCCTTTTCTTTTCCTTGACAGACTTCAGTTTGTATATATTGAAAGAATCTCGCTTCAGAGACCTGTCTTTAAGAGGCTCAATAAGTTTTCTTCCTGCTCCTCTTCAACCCTTAAAAGCAAATGTCACCTTAGTTTTTCTGAATGCAAGCAATGCATGAGAGGCCTTTTTTGGGAACATGAAGTAGGGATGCTCTTTCAGGACTAAATCTGCTGCCTTTTGAAGTCAGGAGGATCTTTTCTATTGATTTCAGTGGGCACTGGCTTAGGCCCTGAATGTAAATGTAGATAAGGAGGACAGTTTGTAACTGAAGGTCTGTTAAATGAAAATATATATTTTGTTTTTGTATCATTTTAACTATTTTCCTTAATACACAGGACGCAATGATCCACTTGGTTAAAATATCCCGTATTATCCGTACCCCACAAGGAAATGCCTTGTTGGTTGGTGTGGGTGGATCTGGAAAACAGAGCCTGACCAGATTAGCATCATATATTGCTGGATATCAAAGCTTTCAAATTACCCTAACAAGGTAACACAATGCCATATACATTGACTATGATCCATTTGTTCCTTAGTCTCCCTATAAACCAAATAGTCACTGTTAATTTAAAATAATTCAAGCCTTTTCAAGCATTTCAATCCCAATCATAGACATTTTTCAGCCAAATTGCACACTGAAAGGCACAGGTGGCAGTTCTGTTGCCTTTACAATACTCAGAAATGGAATTAAAAACTTTTGGTCTAAAGCCTTTTTTCTTTCACTAAGCAATTCAGTTCCGCAGGGTTCTCCTGTGAATTCCAGTTTTTAAAAAATCCCTTCTTTAAAAAGATTGTATGGACTGGACTGTTACTGCCAGCAAGCAAACATAAGGGGAGAAAATCTAGAAACCGCTTATATAGTAGCTAAAGTATTCACATTGACATATAACGACTGCAATCTTATTTGCTGGGTAATGCTGAAAAACAATAATCTTGGTATTTAAAAACATTCTTTAGTGAAATCACAACATTGTCATTTTAAATTAATTTAATGTGGTTTTTGCTGGTTTATTATTGTGGATTGAGAGTGGCAGGGAATCTTGTTCCCCTTCCTTCACATTACGGATCTTTTCTCAAAACCACCATCATTCCAGCCACAAAGGATCAGAAAACATTTCTCTAAGGGGTTCATCTGTGCTGCTTCTTAATAAGATGGAAAGATTTATGTGAAAATCCTTCTAATTTTGTTGGGAGTGACACTTACTTTAAACTGGTCCCCTTTCTATGTGATATTTAAAGGGTGAGCAATAAAAGCACTGGGTAGGAATACCACCAAGAGGCACACCCTAGCCACTCAGCACATACCAAAGCCCCCAAATTAGTCAGCATTCCCAGTACACCACATTCCTGAGCATGCACAAAGAAGTATGCCTAACACAACATGGGAGCTGCTTTAGGCATGTGCTCTAGGAAGCAATAAGCCATCTACACTGCCTACTTTCTGGGAGTGAGTGGATAGGGGTGCACCTGGGCTCACCATGAAGGCTGCATAGACATAGCCTCAGTGTATGTTTCCCTTTGCCTGGCAAAAGCATAACGAAGAGGATAGCAAACCCAGTTCTTCCTTGACTAAATAAGCAAGAATGTTTTCCTGTCTGATCACTGCACTAGCCATTAAAAGTCAGAGGTGCTGCAGGACAGCTCAGCTCACCAAGAGGTCCATCTTTCAAAAACAGATACCGATTCCTCTAACATGATGCTGTGAGCTGTACTCAAGGGAAAGACATAATAAGCCCCTACAAACTTCTTAGAGTAGGAGTAAAGAAAGACAGGGAAGATGGATATGCAGGAGGTGGACCAAAGGACAGAGAGATTAGAGAAATAAATTTTAATCCGGAATATGGCTCACTCTTCTGTAAAATTCCATCCACACCAGTGAAGTGAACGAATATTTCAGTCATTCAGGAAAAGGTAACTATTGTTTTTACTTGAATCTAAGATGACCCCGAATTTAAGATTGCCCCCCAGTGATTAGATTCTATATATGGAAAATTTATAAATGTGTTATACTATTCCAGGGGCCTAGGTTGTAGCTGCGTTGGTCTAAGGACATAGGCAGACAAGGTTCCTTGGGTGAATTTGATATCTTTTATTAGACCAACCCAAATAGCTGGAGAATAGTTATTAAGCAAGCTTTTGGGTTCAAAAACCATTCGTCAGGCTAAGGAAGTTTCAGCAGTTGGTTTGTGCTCTTCCTGGATGGAATGAAAAGTAAAGAAGCCAGGGGCTGGGCTGGGGAGTCAGTTGCCAGGCAGATTATAATGTATCAAAAATCCAGGTATAATATTCCAGGTACACAATCTAATTATCAAAGGTTGACTTGAATTCATCCCCTTCCCCCACTGCTACAGCAGGGAAATGCAGTGGCTGGGGGGGTTCAGATGGCCCCCTAGCCCTCTGGCCTCGCCACTTCTTCCCCCTACAGCCTTCCTATCCCCACCACCACTAGGACCTCCCACCCCCAGCTCCCCACAGTCTCTGCCCCTTCCTCCTTCAATCCCCCAGGTCTCTACCCCTTTCCTTGCACTCTCTCCAGTCTCTGCCCCTTCCCCCTGTTCTCCATAGCCTCCACCTCTCCCTGCCTTCCCGCCCTTACTGTCAGACACTGCTCGGACTCTGTTCTCTCCATGGATCAGCATATGGAAGTGCAGCCCTTGCCAAACTATGCAGCAGCATTAGCACTACTGGTTGGCTGGGCAGGGGCCAGAGTTTCCCTGTGCTCCATGATGGGAGGGAATCCAGCCCAAGCCAGAGCTGAGCTGCACCTGACAATGAAAAGGGGGGAACCGAAGCTGTAGAGGGCAAGTGGAGGGGGCAGGGAGGTAGGCAGCTGCTATGGATTTGACACTGGCACTGCCCCAGGATCAGGGCCAGAGTCAGGGATGCAGCAGCCACCTGCCCCACCCCACTTTGTACACTAATCTAAGATGAGGGGCTCCACCCCATGCTGATTAGGGGAAAAAGGCTTGTCTTAGATTTGAATGAATACAGTATTGTGATCAATGTAACACGACTTACTGTATTAATTATAGTCAATATGCATTGACAAAATTTACTGCAATGTTTCAGCTTCTCTATGGTGACAGTATTAACAGTGTAAGAGAGCTTCAACAAAATGTAAAAACATTTTCTTTATCATTTATTTACTATTGAATCAGTGGGCTTTTTTTTTGAAGTGGGGAGGATTGGGGGAGGAATGGGACTGCACCCTTTATTTCAGGGTGCAGTCTCATTGTTTTCAGGGTAGTTACCCTACTTTGTGTAAATGCTGAATTAATCCAAGGTGGCTTTAGAAAAAACTAACATAATTCAGTGGTTTGAGTTTGGGAAGGGAGGTAGCATAAATGAATTTCATGTTTATATTCTCAGGGATGTATGTGGTAGCCGTGTTGGTCTGAGACAAAAAGAATTGCAAAAATCTAGAACTCTTGGTTCCAAAATGATACCTTTTATAAACCAACTGAAAAATTACCAAAAAAAAAATTCTTTTTCTGCAAGCTTGCGGGCTTACGCACCTTTAATCAGGCTCAGGGAAAGTTCAAGATGGTAAAGTCATATGACCTCGGTCCTCTTTCCTGCCAGGGGCAGGGGGTCGGACAGGATGATCTATTATGGTCCCTTCCGACTCTACAGTCTATGAATCTATGAAAGTCCTCATATTTATTTCCTGCATATGGGGACTTTTTACCGTCTTGAACGTTCCTTGAGCCTTATGAAGGCTGCATGAGCCCAAAAGCTTGCAGAAAAAGTGTTTGGGGTTTTTTTTGCAATTTCTCAGTTGGTCAAATAAAAGGTATCATTTTGGAACCAAGAGTTCTAGATTTTTGCATATTTATATTCTGTTATTTGGGATTGAGCCAGACAATAAATTAGTATATTATTAAATAACCTAGTCGTTTTGCATTCTCCATTTTTAACCTTTACCCCTCTTAGAACATATGGCACCAATAACCTTTTGGATGATCTGAAAACTCTGTACTGCACTGCTGGACAGAAAGGAAAGGGTGTTACCTTTATATTTACAGACAATGAAATCAAAGATGAGTCTTTTCTCGAGTATATGAACAATGTTTTGGCTTCAGGTGAGGTTTCCAATCTTTTTACACGAGAGGAGATAGATGAAATAACACAAGACCTGATACCAGCAATGAAGAAAGAACACCCAAGACTTTCTCCAACCAATGAAAATCTTTATGATTACTTTCTTACTCGTGTTCGCAACAATTTGCATGTGGTTCTTTGTTTTTCTCCTGTTGGTGAGAAGTTCAGAACTCATGCACTAAAGTTTCCAGGTTTGATTTCAGGATGTACCATGGACTGGTTTCAGCGCTGGCCTAAAGATGCTCTAATAGCAGTTGCACACCATTTTCTAGAATCCTACAAAATTGAATGCACAGATGAAGTCAAACAAAGTGTGGTTAACACTATGGGAACATTTCAAGATATTGTAGCTGAAAAATGTGTTGACTACTTTGAACGATACAGACGTCAAACATTTGTGACTCCAAAATCTTATCTGTCCTTCATCAGAGGTTACAAAACCATCTACAAAGAGAAATTCACTGAAGTTGAAAATTCTTCCAGCCGCATGAAAACAGGTACAGTATGCTTGATTTTTAAACAAAGTGAAGAAGTTTGCATTGACATTCAGGTGTGTTGATGTAGCATGTGGGTGTACACACACATACCATATTACTTGATTCCAAGACAAGCTTTTTCCCCTCATATAACATGGGAGGAAAAGGGCCTCTTATTTTGGAATCAAGCACAAGGAGGAAAGAGGGGACAGGCAGCTGCTGCAGTATTGACCCCAACCTGGGGTTGGAGCCAGTGCTGCAGCTGCTGCCTGTCCCCCTTCTAGCCCCCCTCCCCCCCCACATCCCTTCATCCTGCAGCCTGTTCCCCACCCTGCACCCACATCATTGGGCACCCCGCCCCCCTTTCCTCCCATCTTCCTCTGCAGCCTCTGTCCCCTACCCTCCTCTGGCCCCAGCCCAGCCAAGTAGCAGCCATGGCAGGGGGTACAGCATTTCTGGCAGCAGCTTGGGGTCTGGCTGAAGCTGTGGCTGGTGCTACCAGGCCAATCCGGACTGAGAGCACGAGCATTTCCTTTGCCGTAGGCTAAAGCAGAACAAGAGGTAGGGTGCAGGGAGGGGTAAAAGCTGCAGGAGAAGAAAATGGCAGGGGGAAGAAGGGGGGGGCAGACAGTGAGGAGGGAAAGGGGTAGGGAGGATAGGCAGCAGGAGACGAGGTTCGGGGGAGCAAGGGTCAGGCTTAAGCTGCTTCACCCTCCCTGTTGCCTGCCCCGCAGCCGCCTCCTCTCACACTGCCTCCCCCACTCCTTGCCCTCTAGCACCTGCCCCCTCACTGCTTCTTTCACCACATGCCCCTGATTGCTTCCCCCGCTGCCTACTCCCTACAGCCTCTTCATTGCCTGCTCACTACTGCCTACCCATCATCTGGCCCCTGACAGTGCTTTCCCCACTAGAGTGGTGGGGGGATGAATTTAAGACAACCCTCCAATAAATAGATTCTGCGCATGGTAAATTATAACAAATTTATACATTTTCTATTAATAGAATCTAATTATTGGGGCGTGATCTTAAATTCTGGATCATCTTGGATTTGGGTAAATATAGTACGTAGTAAGGAAGAGGTTGAATTAGTGCTTTAAGTAGAAACTTATTGTGGGTGCATCCACTATGTGTGTGTTCAGGTAGGGTGTGTAATTAACTATTTCTTTTTTAGTGTAGGACTTTCTTTTATTTAGAACTCTAAATACATTCACTTAGGGCCAGATTCTGTTCCATGTGTTAGGTGTCCATGAGTGTGATTTGCTAGCTGCATGACAGTAGAAGTCTGTTTGTTCTGAGAGTGTGCAAAGTGATGATTTACATGTGTTCGTGCATTTGAAAAAAAAAGTTATATATGTGATTTTTTTGTCTAAGTTTTTTATGTGAATGCAGTCATAGAATCATAGAAAATGAGGTTTGGAAGGGACCTCAGGAGGTCATCTAGTCCACCCCCCTGCTCAAATTAGGATGATCCCAGCTAGATCTTCCCAGCCAAGGCTTTGTTTAGCCAGGTCTTAAAAACCTTCAAGGATGAAGATTCCACAAACTATCTAGGTAGCCTGTCTAGTTCTTTACTACCCTCCTAGTGGGAGAGTTTTTCCTAATATCTAACCTACACTTTTCTTACCGCAACTTGCTCCCTTTGGGAACCACCCTTCAAGCAGTTGAAGGCTGATATTGAATCCCCTCCTGGGTCTTCTCTAGACTAAATAAACCCAGTTCCCTCAGCCTCTCCTCTTAAGTCATGTGCCCCAGCCCCCTAACCATTTTCATTGCCCTCCAATTTGTCCACATCCTTTCTTTAGCAAGGGGCCCAAAACTGGACACAGTACTCCAGATGCCACAGTACTCCAGATGGCAGATTCTCATTTCCCAGCCCCAACTCCGTGATTGCGAGCAGGGCTGGGAGCTCTCTGCTGCCAGGGCAGGGGGGCATCATCCCCACAGTCCTGCCTGGAGCAGACACCTCTTAGGTGCAAGCAGAGGAAAAACTGGCAGTGGCAGTGGCTCTGGCATTGCAGTGTTCTCCAGCCATTTCTCTGGGTCTCTTAATTCACTGCCTCTCTCTTCCTGCCCTTCTTTCCAAGAGACCTTCCCTAGCAAATCCCCCTGTAATCTGGCTCTTTGTTGCTCCTCAGCCCCAAAAGCTTCCTTTTTTCCTGCTAACCTGCTTCCTCTCACCAAGCTCACAGTGAAGGAAGGTAAGAAAGCATTTCCAGCAAACCTAGCAAACTCCCCCTCGCTCACAACTCTAGTTAAGCAAGGAGCTTTAGTATTGGTCTAAATGCTGAGTTTTAGCTATTTACACTAAATATATGTAGGTTAGTTACTCTTTATTAATGAAAGAGCTTACCATAAAGGCTCTCCTTCAAAGAGGGAGGCACCGAACTGACTTGCAAACTACTTGCAAACTGTTCCGTTTGCTACCCTTGTTCATGTGCTCCCTGGTCACTCAGGGAATCTCCTTTATACCTGGCTGGGCTTGGATTTGTTGTGCTACCTTTTCATAGATTTCATAGATTTCTAGGATTGGAAGCCCTTGTAGATCATCAAGTCCGACCCCCTGCTCTAGGCAGGAAAAAGTGCTGGGGTTAAACCAGGAGTGGGCAAAATATGGCCCACGGGCTGGATCCAACCTGCAAGGCCATTCTATCAGGCCCACAGGGCCCCTAAAAATTTTAGAAAATAAATATTAATTTTGGGGCTTTTGTTAGACACAGGCAGCAATCACCCAGCAATCCCTTGGCTGGCAGCACTCCCAGCTGCTCAGAGCACACACCAAAACACACAGACCACCAAACAAACACTCAGCAAGCCAAACACACAGGCACCAGTCTCACTTAGCTTCGCAGAGCAGGATCGGATGTCTGGTGCCTAGCTTCTCTTCCTCTTCCCTTTCCTCCTCTTGCTGCCAGTGAACTGCTTGCGAACTGCTCTGTTTGCTGCCCCTGTTCACTCACTCATGCCCATGTATAGCTCTTTGCAATGCCCATGTCTAGCCTAGGAACCTCACAGAACTGGGAGCTTGCTCAGCTCTTCCAGATTCCTGTGTAATGTTGAACTTAGATGTTCTTTTGCTCCCCCAGCTCTCCCCACTTTGCCCAGTTCCATTCAGTTTAGGACGAATTTACCAAGTTCCTTTTTCTCTGTCTCCTTTGGATTCATAAAGCATCTGTTGGGCTTGTGGACTTCATAGAAATGTACATCAGCACTACCAAATGTTTACAATTTTTAAAAATATTTCTTCACATTTCAGGTTCCTAGTCACTGTTTATTCTTTTAATGAATATCATGTAATATGGTCTAACAGTTTTAAGGAATTAAAAAAAATTGGAAAAATAAACACCTACAGTATTTAGGCATGCAAATCTATATTTAGGCACCAAAGTATATGATTAAAGCCATGATTCTTATGTCTCCAGGGTAAATGAATAATTCTAAAGAAATGAGCAAAGTGATACCTTTGCAAGACAGGAGCACATGTAAGTGTTTTCGACCTTAGGCCACTTATTTAGGCCACCTCTACACATACAGGTAAGGGCACAATGAGATCTAATGCACAATCCTCATAATCATGCTTCCTGCCATGCCACACATGCATGGCAGGAGGCACAATTGAGAGATTGTGCATTAGATCCCATTGCATCTTGTTGCTGGTGCAGGGGCAGCCTGATTCCAGAATCCAGCAAGAATCAAAAACCCAGGTATGGGAGCCCCCCCAGTTGAGGGCTCCCACTTGTGAGGGTGCCCCAGGGCTGGGGTTTGCAGCAACCACAGTCTCCCGGGCCTAGCATTTTCATGTACCCCAGAGCCCTGGAAATCGCAGTTGCCTTGAATCCCAGGGCCCTGTGGTTTCATGCTGGGCATGGTGCACTCCTGTGGCTAGGAGCCCTGTCAGCCAACAGGGTTCCCAGTTGCAGGGGAGATCCTGCTGCATGTGCAGATTAAAGCTTGATAGCAACCAGCTATAAAATTAGTACGCATTTTTGAGGTCTCACTTTATACCTAGTTGGAGCTTTTTACTATGTGATAAGTACTTTGCACATGTAGCTGGTCTTAAGGTAATTGAGCAATTAACCAGTTAATTGCCCTGTACCTATAATGTGTAGAGGGAGCCTTAGGTGTTTAAATATGAAGAGGCATGACTAACTTCAGTCACCCAGACTTATTTCTTACTTGTTGCAAGAGCAAAAAATATAATTTGCTTTGGGCAGGTCTTACAAAACTGATGGAAGCTGAGGTTTCTATAAGCCATTTGTCAAAAGAGCTGGCGGTAAAAGAACAAGACTTGGCTGCTGCTTCAAAAAAAGCTGATGAAGTTTTACTGGAAGTGACTATGAAAGCTCAAGCTTCTGAAAAGGTGAAAATGCAGGTTCAAAAGGTGAAAGACAAAGCCCAGGCCATTGTGGATGAAATTGCCATGGATAAAGCAGTAGCTGAAGAAAAACTGGAGGCTGCAAGACCTGCGCTGGAGGAAGCCGAAGCAGCACTCCAGGTCAGAACTGAATTGATATAATAAATTCATACCTAAAGAAGAATGCTTTTAATTCAAAAGCTTGTCTAACTTTATCCCAACTGTACAGTTGGTCCAATAAAAGATATCACCTCTGAAAACCCTTACCTGTTGATATAATAAACACATAGAAGGAGCTCAGGTGAAATCCTTTTTCACTTTGTGACCAAATGGCAATGACACAGCCATGTAACTGCAATTTTTGGCACTTATGCATAGTGCCAAAAAATAGAATTGCCTGACATACTTGCATTTATACTTGCCAGAAACAAGTTGATGCCAGTTGGCCTGATTCTTCATTGCACTGTGTTGGCATAGGATGCTATGTCAAGGTAAAGCAAACTGTACTGTTTTTGAACATTTGAAGTGACTTGCTTGTACAAAGCATACACAGTGTCAATTATACTGGCAGTCACTATGCACTAAATAATAAATACAAGAAGTGGTGCGACAAAGCACAAAGTGGATATAACATACAAAAAGCTACATTGCACCAATTTGCTGGCTAGTGTGTAGTCGATATGGGTGAAAGTGATGGGTAATTTAGAGCAGTTATGAGATTGCTTACATCATAAGTGCAAAGCCAGCATATGGGGATCCTACCCAGTTGCAGTATTTGATGATGCCTTTCTTCTTTTCTGCCTTCTGTTGATTAATGCCTGACATACAGGCACATATAATGTGAAGGGTTTCAGTTATTAAGCATTTGTGTAGCTCCAAGTTGTGAAAGTCAGAGTCTAACTGGTTAGGAATGTTCAATTGGAATGGTTTTTCCTTGGGAAAATGCAGTTTCTGCAAAAGTAGAAACTTCCAAGAGAACATTTTTGTTCTTCCATTAGAAAGATATAAATTAAATGTTTCATTTTGGGCTGGTTCTCCATGATTTGGAAACAAGTAATTTCTAATCAATTCAACAAAATGTTACATTTAATTTTTGTGTCGGTGCTTTCCTTTCTGGAGTTGTAGTTCAAGGCCTTGTTCTCTCCTTTGGGCTGGCCTTCCTGAATGCTATCATCCTTAATATAATGCAGATTTCCCTCTGACCAGTTTATGTAATGCATGATCAGAATCACAGGATTTTGGGGGGGGGGGGGGGGGGGGAGAACTTGCGGGGAT